TGCCGGCAGTGAACACAGACGGGTGGATGTTCAGGAGAGACACAAGCGACGCACCACGTCCCGCGCCCAGAAACGTTTTCTAAGCAACAATTGAAAAGTTGATAACGTTAAAAATATTTTTAAAAAACAACAACAAAAAAAAAAAAAAAACACACACACACAGTTTTATTGTGTGCTCTTAGACCACATGTTGCTTCCATTCAGTTCTGTTGTTTTCAAAAAACGTTTTCTAAACAAAAATTGAAAAGTAGATAAAGTAAAAAATATTTTTAAAAAAAAACAAAAAAAAAAAAAAAAAAACACACACACACAGTTTTATTGTGTGCTCTTAGACCACATGTTGCTTCCATTCAGTTCTGTTGTTTCTTAAGTAAGCCATAAAATCAACTATTTTGTATTATAGAGTTATAGCCATATACATTTTATTATTCGACGGATCAGATATATACCATAAAACAGAAGAGAGTCTCAAATAGAAATTGAACCAAGATGTTCGTTGTAGTAATCAGCTTGACATTCTTGGGATCTGCTATAGAGACCATATCTATAACGAACAAGCCAAAGAAAAAATTTCGTCAAGCAAATTGGATACTATTATAACCTTCTGGGAACTGTAAATAAAAAAAACATGCAAACTAGAATGGTATGGTTACGTGACAAAAAAAAAAGGGCTCGCCGAAGGAATGACGCCGGGCACAACGAGATGATGGAGAAGAAGAGGAAGACGGAAACAACATTGGAAGATGACATCAAAGGAGTGAACGGGATTAAAGCTAGGCGATGCTGTGCGAAGTGCAGAAAACAGAGAGGAATGGAGAAGGTTAGTTTTCATGTCATCTGTGGCGCCCCAAACGGTCCACGGACTAAGGGTCATGTAGATGTAGCTGCAGAGCATCTTATTGACATTAGAATCTCAATGGTTTCTTCTAGTGACATTTTTTAAAGCGACTTTCCACTTAAGTAAGAACATTTCATTTTTTTTTAAAGCAGCAATAGTGCGTGATTGGCATCTAGCTTGGAAACCGAAACATGGCTCTCATTTTGAAACGATGAAACAAGTTTATACGCTTATAAGTCAGTGGTTCTCAACATTCCTAAATCCCCGACTCTTTAATACAGTTCCTCGTGATGTGGTGACCCCCATGCAGCCATACAATTAGTTTCGCTGCTAAAACATAAAAATGTGTTTCCGATGGTCTTAAGCGACCCCTGTGTAAGTTCGATCCCAAAGGGGTCACGACCCGAAGGTTGAGAACCTCTGCTCTAAGTGAATATGCTGTTAGAGAGTATAGATTTTTTTTTAATTCTAAGAGGGTATTTTTTTTTTAAAATAGTTTGCGTGATGTTAAAAAATATTTCATTATTTATGAATTGCTATGTGTGCATATAACCAAAAATAGATCTTTATATAGCAATAGTTGTGTCAGTTGACTTTCTTGTTTGACGTGTTTAGCCGAACATGTTTCTTACACCTAAAATGAAAGCTCAACATATATTTAAAAACAATTTTCATTTTAAAGCGATATGACCCAATAAAGAAATTCAATTAACACAAAAAGAAAAAAAAATCCAATTATAACTTCAAACATTATTTTGCTGCATTGCCTATTGAGTTCTCTCAGCACCCTGCCCTCCTCTCTCTCTCTCTCTCTCTCTCTCTCTCTCTCTCTCTCTCTCTCTCTCTCTCTCTCTCTCTCTCTCTCACTCTCTCTCTCTCTCTGTGTCTATCTGTCTGTTCAACAACGGGCCACGTATAGCTCCAGTAATGTCACACCTCTCGCCAGGTCAAAGAGTTCATCTCAAACGAGTATAGCCGGGGTTTTTTTTGGTGTGTTTTTTTTTAAATGTAGACGGTCACACTTGGTTGCGCTTAGACAGCAGAAACTAACTTATCGCACCAGCCATCGGCTCGGCTCTAATGAGCTCAGAGGGACGACAGCTCACCTGTTGGCGAGTTGGCCGAGTCCGGGATTATCCGCTGTTATTGAGATGATTAAGCAATAAGAGAAATGGGATTAAATGTGATTAGCTTCTCGAATCTATTACTAATCTTGACATCTAGAGATGACTTTTTCTGGGATTGTTGGGGCGAGAGAGTGGGGGGGGGGG